TTGGGCTGGATTATGGATTAGGTCTGGTTTTAAGATTAAATTGCAGTATATTTCTTGATTCACCATTGGAAATACTGTTTAGTCTAGGCTTAGGCTAATGTTGTGTTCATGACTAAGTGGGAATAAGCCATTCGAATCTCCCTCCAATACATAATTCCCACTCGGAAGGTCAGAGGTGTCTTTTCCACTGTAGAACTAAATGGTTCCCAGAGCTGTACTGTTCTGTTCTGCGCTGGTACAGACTTATGAGATGGGTTAAACCCTTTTACCACCCGCTGTGCTGCTAAATTGGTATTGGGAACGTTGATATTGTTAAGCAAAAACCACAAGTAGCTCAGCAATGGCTAACAGGCTACAGAACACATTAGATCCCAGCTGTCAATCCAACACCTGTCACTTGACTTTATGCTTTTTCATAGTCTTTATCCTCTAAACGGATGTTATTTGTGCATTGTCTGGAACCAAACATGTAATGTGGTGGGTGGCACCTTTAACTAGCTTTGGCTTAGCCCAGCAGACTAACAACAGAATGCATAGAATAAAACCTGTACTGTGGTGTTTGGATCTGCAGGCCACTAGATAAGCTAACTAGGCTAGAGGAGCCAGCTTTAATGTAGATGGGAGGCTACAGATCCAAACACTATAGTATGGGTTATTTTGTTTTTCTTTTCGTCCAGCACCAGCCGTTCAACTTCGCTTCCTCAGATTGAGTCATTACAACCTAAATTTGCTTCCATAATGTCATAAATGTCATAAAAAGTAGCATGTTTTAGGAATTTTTAGTTTCTGTTTGAGTATTACATGCTATTTGTGTATGAAGATCTGTGATAAAATTGTACATTTTCATGTAATTTTGCTGTATTCATTTCACTTAATTTGTGCTGTATTAAGGGTGAGTTGTTGAAGCACATCGACTTAAAAAAACTCTCTCTCTCTATATATATATATATATACATATATACATATGATAACAAATAAATATACACTATACAAATATATAGGTATAACAAATGAACTATTTCATTAGTTTTATAAATGTGTAGTTACATTTAGATAACTCTTAAGTAGTGAAAGTACAGTACAGCGTACTATTTAGAGTACAGATGGGATTTGAGTTGAGATATACACTCCAGCTCTGAGTGGTAAAAAAGCACATATCAAATTCCCTTCTGCAGAAGTGTTGTCAAATGAAGCAAGTCACTGGGTATCAGTCGAAGCAAGATGTATCGAGTGTCCTGTAAGAGCAGGTGTCAATACATATGCCACAGACTGGCTTTTCATTTCCTCCATTGACCAAACCACTCTGCAGATGAGGCCCTAAGTTCTCGTATTTATGTCAGATGTTTGTAATCCACTGATTCACAGCATCAATAAACTGGCACTTTCCTTTGGGGGATAGAACTTTTTAAATAACAGTCTGACATTTTATCGCAGCCAATCATACAAATTGAACACAATCATGTAACTCACCAAAAAGAAAGTATCGCTGTCATTAAGACATTTGGTGGCTTGAGTTGATTGTTCATTCTCTACCTGTGCAAATTACTCATTTCTCAGCATGAGGTGAAAGAGCAGAGAAGCTGTATTAAACAGAAAATCTCACAAAAGCCCCAACAACTAAATATATTTGTTCAGTATTTATTGTGTCAACCCTTTGCCTTCATCACAGCTTCCTTTCTTGAGACTTGTTTTCAGTTTTTCAATGAAATCTACAGGGACACTTTTTCACCCTTCCAAATCTCAGTCTTAGAAGTTGGTTGCATTTTCTACTTCTGACCATCCAGGTAATCTCATAAACATTCAGTGATGTTGGGTCTCAACTCTGGGGTGGTCAGTCCATTGTTATGAGAACACCAACAGCTTCTTTGTTTTACAAGCATCTTTGATTTACATGTTTTCTTATTTTTCTTCTTTTTGTCTAGTGGCATCTTGACAGCCACACATACTTTCAGACTGATAGTGTTGAGTTGTCTTCTCACAGTGGAACAATGGGCAGAAACATTTGTGAATTTTTGAAGCAAGAGTGGAGCTTGATGTTCTCCTTCAGAGAGATTTTCCTTCATCAGAAATATCTCATAAAAAATTAATAACATGTACTTAAAGGCTTTTTGACTGGAAATGAACTAAATGAAAAGTAGTAACTTTTAAACAGTACTGTATCTCATCACTGTTATATGAAAACCACTCGAACTGCAGCGGTGATCGCAGATGAGTATTTGAAAAGGTGTGGATTTGGAAACGGAAAGCTTTCTGGTGGCAGTGTAAAATCTGGACACATGGCCAAGCTCGTCTGTGTGCCTGTGTGTTTGTGGGTCTGTCTATGTGTTTGGTCCGTAGAAGGCCGTGCGAGCCTGCATGCCCCGCGTCAGTCTCATTAGCACTCTGGCTCTGCCAAGCTCTTTCCACACGGCTGCGCTGGTTTCAGAGAGGAGAAGAGACGGTCCGGTAAAGACAAAGCGAGAGATAAAGAGATACGGGTGAGTGTGTGTGTGTGTGTGTTGGGAGGAGTATGGGGTGTGTGGGTACTGCAGAGGTTTGTGTTATCAAAATGTGCTCTTTGAGGGGGAGGGGCATTGTAAAAGGGGTGGGGGAAGAGAGAGAGAGAGAGAGAGAGAGAGAGAGAGAGAGAGAGAGAGAGGTATCTACATAAAGAGAGTGAATCACGCAGCAAAGGACAGATTAAGTGTGTGTGTATGTGTGTGTGTGTGTGTATGTTTAGTGTGTGTGTTTGAATTAGCAGCAAAGGAAAAATCAATGTGCCTAAATGTGTATGTGTACCCACATGCGCATATGAATGTACTTGTTTGTTTTCATGCTTCTGCAGAACAACAGTATCCTGACTTTATGGAACATTGTCTTTTTTAACTGATCGGGAACAAATCATTTTGGTTACTGAGTTCAGGCTGACACTTAGAAAAGTCTCCTTATACATGGGTTATTACTAACTTTACAGGAGAAAGCCAGAACGCTCTTAACTTTTAGTGTAAGTTAATGTAAAAAGTTTTATCCCAAGTGATTTTGGAGCATTTCTATTGGTCTAATTACCATGAAATTATCACAAAATGTAAAGGGCAGCTGTTGTGTTCAAATGATGTAGAAAAATAAAAATCAATAAAAAAAATAGAAAAATAGAAATCAACAAATATGGAGATACATGTATAGACAGCAATGATATATATTATACATACTGGATGGTATATAGTATTATTGCATATGTCCATATATATGTATTTATACACACACACACACACACACACACATAAATATATATATATATATATATATATATATATAAATATAAGTATTTACATATAGAATTTGTATGTATGTGTGTATATCAGGGTGGCTGATTCGTGTGCTGCATTTGTGCTGATTGTGAGGTGATGCTCTAGATTTCAGTCCCGCAAGGCTGATTACTCCTCTATAGTGGCGCCTCAGTGCCTGCCTGTGTCCCCACCTGCTGACCTTGGGCCTCTAAATCTTTGCCAGACAGGCCTATTATTTCACCTCAGCCCTGCCTTTATTATCTAATGCGGGTCAGAACCGCCTGGGAGAGCTCACCACACCGGCCAGAGATTGCCCGTGTGTTGATTTACTGAACTGGTCAAAAGGGGAGACTGCACAGAGACAAAGAAGCGCCAGCCGGCAGTTTTATACTGATCCAAAGGAATCATTTATTTATGGGCGTAACTCCAACATGCAATAAAAGCTTCTAAGAAGAGCCATAAGAATTTTTTTATTTTGCTGATATTCCAGCAATACTTTATACTGGGAATAGTGAAGGTAAACAGCTGTGTATTTTTTCTGGGCAGTTAGGAGGCCAGATGGTATTGATTGAACTTCAAAATCTCTTAAAAAAAGGAGTGAAACAAAACAAAAAGGTGGGTCAATTTGCCAAGGCTGCTCACAATATTTCTGTGAAGGAAAAACGGAAAGTTGGAGGAAAGGTCCGGTGCTGGAGCTTTTGGCATGGCTCTACCTTCTCAGGGGTGAAATCTCTTTCCACACAGTTCAGTTGTTTTTGCTCATTTCCTTTATAGACGCAGCCGTGTGCTGGACCAAGGACCTGACCGCCTGCCTCCCCCCAGCACCTCGTTAATGAAACAGATCCTATTCCAGCTCTTTATTAAGAATGTAAGGATGCACCTGCCCCAGTCAAACGGTTTGTGCTCAAATGTCCATCAAAATTGAAGATCTGACTGTCAGCCTCAATTAAAATGAGCAGTGAATGGCTGGCAGAATGAGTAGCCTTTCCTTCAGTGAGGCGACGGCTAAAATCCCCATCAGAAATGCAGGAAGGGATTAATCAGGCACATTCCAGCCCTCCATTGAGAGGTTTAACGCCAGCCACACTCCATTCTTTGACATATTTGTGCATATTCATGAAATTAATGACATTACGATTTAGCTGTGCACAATCTTTAAATGAGTGCAGTCACTGGGCGTGCAAAACACGATTCATTTACAAATTGCATGCATGTGGATCTATATTCAGTTCATTCTCTCTGACAGGTCTGGAAGATTCACATCAATCAGTAAATAAATATGATTAAGTATTATCAACAACAAGAATAGGCATATATAGAAACTGTTGCGTCAATAAAAATAATAAAAAATAAAATGTAAAAAAAAATTGTAAAAGTCTTAAGGACCGCACTAGGTCTCGTGCAAACAATAGCGCGCGCGGGGGGCACTGCGCAAAAACGCTCGCTCTCTACAGCAGGATGCGCTCAGCAAGCACGCGCGCGCGCACAAGCACATGCATTCGCTCTTACATGTGTCATTAGAACATTAATGCAGCAGCTTTTTACTGCATTTAAACAAATCTACAAACTCTAAAGCAAAACCACACGTGACTCCATTCTGTCCACGCAAAGTTGGTGCAGAGTAAATAGTCCAAATGCATTTACAGTTGGCACATCAATAGTTCGTTCAATTTAGCCCCAGTGCCCTCCAGTCCCTTCCCTTCAACAGAGACAGCTGGACAGTGATGGACTTACCCCCCAACGCTTGCTTCATAACAAAATTCATGGTGATGGCTTTTGATTCCTGCCTTCTTCACACGCAGATCACATTCACGATTAAGCCTCTTAAGTAGTCCTTCCTCACCAGACCTGTGAACAAAAATCACACCAAGACCTTCACGCTGCAGCACTTCTTGAAACTTGGCAGCAACAGAAATAGCAGAAACTTTTTCCTCCTGCTTCACTGTCTGCGTCTTTCGTGTTGTGACTCTAAACGAGCCCATATCGACCAGTTCCCACTGAAGGACATTAGAGGTCAATAGAACACATACAGCGCTGAGAAAAGTGTCATCCTGCCAAAAAATAGTGTTATTTACGTTCAATTGACTTAATTTAAACGTCTCATTAGCAGTAGATTGTGGAAGAACCAAAAGCCCGCGGTGTTTGCCTTTGGGACAGAAGGGCATTTTGTGGGCAGCTGTAAATGCGGAGCTGCAGAGGGCACGGGATCGACCCACACAGGACACTGCAGCCTAAACATCGTCCCATAACATCTAAGAAGATAAAGCATGGACTGGTCTGCTTTTCTTTCCATTTAAAGGTATAAACACCGGCTTGGACAATAGGGGGCCATGCACTGTTTAGCAGCGATCCCACAATTTGCGGGTTAACTTTCCATTGTCCAATTGCATCAAGCGTCGAGCCCATATGGGAGACGAGAAAGGATATGCATGCATATTTACCCCTAACCGCACCTCCGTGCACGCGAACTGTGTTTATTTTGATGCTAAAAGTGCCAGATTGCGCGTTTGCGTGCGGTTACAGGAACGCTGCACGCGCGTTTACATGCTCTTATAAACGCCGTGATGCATCATCTGCGCTCGAGATGCAAGGATCACTTCCTCGTTCGTTCTACAGTACAGGGGCTCGCGCTCCATCCCACCGTTGATGTTCACATACACACTCGCAGTCACACACGCGCGCGCTCACACAGAGGTCATGATTACCTGGCCGGTGTATTTAAGATCGCTCCTCTCGCGCGGACGATGAAGCCCCGGTGAAGTTGAGTGTTAAAGCAAAGAGAGAGAGAGAGAGTGAGAGAGAAAGATACAGGGGGAGAGAGAGAGAGAGAGAGAGAGAGAGCAGGACGGGGATGTTTAGCCGCTGCTTCCAAGCATGTCCGCGCGCGGCTGCAGAGAGGACACGATGGGGGGACGTGCAGCTCGACTGAATCACATGGAGGGGCTCCCGTCCGAGGAGGCGCGTCCCACGCTCTCTCACCGAGAAGGGGGGCGATCAATTATTCACGGCGCCCGGGCTCCGCTGCGCCCTCCTCCTCCCCTCCCTCCCTCTCTCCCTCCCTCTTTCACGAGCCGAACCGAGAGTGCACGTTGAGGTTAGCTCGCTGGTTCGCTGCGTTACAGCGCTGGTGTTCGGTGTTTGGATCTGGCTTGTTTGGGACGCACGCGGGGCCTGAGGAGTCCTAACACATTGCCACGCACATATTTACAGTTCCATATGCACTGAAGCTCCTCTATAGGTTTCTAGGCAGGGCAGCCTGTGTTGAGTGATGCAAAAGGGTGTTTTTTTCCCACCCGTATTCATACAGGCCCCGTCTCCTGGCGTTACGATTGGCTAGTAGTTCATACTCACACGCAGCCCGCCTATCACCGACGGAGAACTGTTTGTGAGTATGAACTACTTGCCAATCGTAGCGCAGAAGGCGGGCCAATCCGAGCCATTCCCAGTCGAGGAGGCGGGGCTTGTCGGAATACGGGTGGTGAAATAATGTGCTCTTCCTTCGTCCTTTGGGTCGTGAATGTGAGGGGCGCGTGGCTCGGCGTGGCAGCAGTTCTCCAGTAGCGTGCAAAGCGAATGATCCGGTGGAAACGACAGCAGCGTCCCGCCGAATTATCCACTCCGTTTACACGGCAAGCGATTCTCACTGTAAACTATTTTACAGTAAAAAGACTACAGGATTGTGTTTGTGTGTGTTGGCGCGCGCCTGTTTGTGGACACCAAACGCGCCAAATGCAGAGATGAATGACAGGAATGTGTGTGTGTGTGTGTGTGTGCGTGTGTGCGTGCGTGCGTGGTTAGAGTTGGGTTAGGTTCAGATGGAGGGACAGCATCATGTAGCTACAGTTAAGCAGAGGTCAGTGGAAATGCCTCACAATTGAGCAATACAAACATGTGCATTTCTATTTTAAAAAGGCTGGGTTTGTTTGAAAAATTAGTTGAACCAAAAGGCATCTTTCTGGATAGCGAAGTTAAAGGGACACCCAGCCAAAATGGAAAATTTAACCATTGCCAAATCTGTTATAAACATGCATACTTATCTCTTATACAAAAGCCTCAGTCGTCTATAGTCTGAGATTGTTTTGGTTCAAAGGCAAGGAAAAACCCCTTCTGATGATGTATCTTGAAGGTGGCAGTACATTACACTACAAGTGTAGAGTAGGAGGTGGGGTGCTTGATATTTTTTTTTTTTCGGTTAGCTGGCTGAATCATTCATTTATCAAAGAAAAAAGTCTGAAGGCCAGTTAAGGTTACCGTTATATCAGTAATTCTAGCTAGCATTACAGACGTATTGATTAGCCTCTCAGTCTGTCAGTGGCTAGCAGTCAGGATTTTATGGATTTCTAATTATTGTGTAATGTAAATGTGCAGTGCATGCTGGGTACTGCAGTGAGAGAACACTGATGTCAAAAAATGTGAAAATGGCACAAAAAAAAAGAAATTTACCAAAACACTGAGGCTTATTTTACTACATAAAACAACCAATAACAAATAAGATGATGACTTTAGGCTGGAATGCCCCTTTAAGATCAAGGCTTGTGGTAAAGCATAGCATTATGCAGCTGGAGTTATAGGTAAATTAGTGGAAATACCCCAGAAGAACAGGAATACAAACTCATGGGTGTGCGTTATAGGAAAATGCTCAGTCACAAGCTGGCCTGTTTTTCTTGCATTGCTTCAAGATCAGTTTTTCTGGGACTGTTTTTCAGCATTGAGAAGATACTCTTGGGTGTCTGTCTCCTCACTGTTAACCTGATGTTTTGCATGTCTTTGTAGGCTACTAAGCTGCAGCTACGTAATGAGATGAATAAAATCGGCTTCATTTATACAGCAAAGAAAGACTAAAAAGCTTTAAAGTGACAGGTGCAGGGCAGCTTCCAGTCCCCACCTCCTCACATTTCATGTGATAAATGCCAAAGCTGGTCCTTTTCTTTCTGTAACAAGGGCTCTAAGGGCCACTATAGGCTCATTATGCCCAGATTAGTCCACAGTCACATCAAACTGACAGCAACTTTATCAGCTTATCGTCATGTAAAGCAACATGGTAGGTGAAAGAAAGTGTGCAGTTGGCATAGTTTAATTAGTCTGAAATACATAACTGGATTTTTGTTGTCTTAAAAGGACAATATGTGATCAAGAAACGTCTGGTCACTTTCCAGCACCCAAATGTTGCAGAATGTATGTAAATGCAGAGGGTCGTCCAGAGATGCCTCGTCTTCTGTTTGACTTGGTCTGGACACATCAAGTGATTTAAAAGCTTTGTTTCCAAATCCAGCTTTTGTACTGATGCCAGGCGTGAAGATGATTCACGTATGAAAGAGCAAAGCTTGGTAATAAACCCGGATTACAGAGTGGAGTGGGTGGAATTTCTGAAATATCTCAGCACCCACTCCGAGCCACAAACAGAAAAGCAGCCACACTCCATCTCTCTCCAACTGAGCCTTTGCCTACAAAAAACAGACACTGGTGGGACTGCTTATGCCCTACCTGAAAGAGCATGACGGCGGTAAGGAGGAGGATGACAACAGTGATGATGATGATGATAATGATGGGAAGTTCATGGTGGTAATGACGGCAATGGTGTAAATCACATAAGCTGTGTAACGTAAGCAGTCGACCTACTCACACTGCCTTCATAGTTACTGTTGTGAAGTTGGACAAGCTTTACAGAATGTTGGCAAAAATTCCATTCCATCTAATCAGAAAGTTTAGCACACTTTGCTTCGTATTGCTATGTAATGTCAAGTCCACTTTAAAATGCTACATTAGCTCAATGACACAAGAAATTACATTCAGATCATCCATTGTGACCTTTCAAACAAATAGAAAATCAATATAATTTGAAATTAATACAAAACACTAAGTTGTGCACTACAGTTGCCTGTTATTTTGAATGGGATTTTTGAGTCCTGTAAAGCTTGTCTAATCTCACAACAGTTGCTACGAATGCATTGGTGGGCAGAGAGGTTACTTCATAGTATCAGTGGGAATGATAGTTTTGCTTATTTCCTTAAGTTTCCTCCTTAGCTTTTGAATTCCTGAACATTTTGTAAATCACTCTAAATAATGTTTGTGAGAGAATTCAGATGATGTTTTGATAGACAAGTTAAAGGATTCAAATTTATTTATGTGTTTGTTTGTTTGTTCCATTTTCATAACATTTGTGTGGGTTTATGTACCAAAAACAGCAATACATCGTTTTTACATGACCATTTTCCAACCTCTCTTTATCCCTTACAATTAAAGAGGTTGTTTTTGTTACTGTGCATAAGACATACATGTAAATGATGGGCTGCCTTGCATTGCAACTCATTCAATAAGCAATCCGAGCTGAAACAAATCCGAGCTCCTTATAACTTCAACATGAGTGGGTGGGGCCAAACCACTATAGGTTAAATAGGTAGTTTTGAGTAAATGTGTTGTTCTTCATGACGTAACAAAAACATTGAATTCAAAACAGGCTGTTTTTGCAGCTTAGTTTTCATGTATGGACTGTATAGACTGAGGAGTGTCTGGTACATCTTGAAACTTTGACAGTGTTTATATATTACATCAAAAAAGGAATAAACGTTCAAAATAGTGAGAAAAATTTTTTTCCATAAAATGGGCCCTTCAAATGTGTGTGCAACAGGCAGCGCACAGAATAAATGTTAATGAGCCCACCACAGGCCTATGCACACTGTTACATGCTTTGAAAAAGTACATATTTTTGTTGTGAGTGTTTTTTATTTATTTTGTTTAAATTGAGTCAGGAGGCAAAATATGCTAAAATATGGTGTGTGTGTGTGTGTGTGTGTGTGTGTGTGTGTGCTGCTGTGAGTCACCCTGTAAAGGCTGAAATAATCATTAAAAAATTGGTGGTGTAGGGTCAGATTTAGCTGGAGATCTTTAGACCATGTCATATGTTTTTACGTATTAACTTTTCATGAACAGAGTCAAAATGAAGGTTTCAGCATGACATTCAGTTCTCAAATGCAAACTCAACATTATACTGATGAAGATATGATGGCAACACTTACATCCTTCACCAATTTTGGCTGAGTTCTCTCTGAATACTCTTTCAATTACTTGGTGAAGCAGTTAGAAGCAAAACTGACATTACAGAATGTTCTAGCATACAATTACACAAATGAACTAAAGAGGTCTTCAAATCCCCCAAACTTGCATAGAATAACTTCAAAGGGGAATTCTGCCAATTTTCAAATACATCTCAATGACAGTTCTGTCACTGAAATGTAAATAAAGTCATTTAGAGTGATTTGATATGAAATGGTTCATGTAGATACAGTTACAGACTTAGACTTCTTTACAGTGGTGGTGATAGGAACCAGGGGTTGCAGTGTCTACAACACAAATATAGCCATTTTATCTAACCCTGCATGTACCGCTCCGCCATGAATGACATTTTAGAACAAGGTTAACAAGACGTTTTAAGCCAAAACCTCATCAAAAAACTATTGTCAAACAATGTCTCTGACCTCAGGCAGCGTATTCTTGACCATTTCATGTAATAACTGTCTGTGAGGGAGCTTTTAGAGGTGGACGTCTATTTTGCATCACCACCACTGTCAACAATTCTGACTTTGTAAGTTTCTCTAGAACAGAGCATTTCATACCAAATCACTCTGAAAGACTTTGTTCACATCTTTAACCATTTATTTATGTAGAACCTTTGAAAAATTGGTGGATTTCCTCTTTAACATGTCTGAAAATGGTGCTATATGTGGATAGGATCAGCGGTAGTCTAACGGTATGCCTTTTGTTAGCAAATTCTGCAATGCTTAAATAAATGCTTAAATTCTGCTCACTGTTGGTATCTGTTTCTGTTTCTATGCCATCTCTGTTATGGAGTTAAGTTAGCTCAGCCCGTCTTTCTAGCAAGCTCTACTTTAGCAAGTAGCTTATGAGTTATGTATGATTGTTCTTTGTCAGCATACGTGTTATGTTTGAAAAGGTTTCAAAGAAAAGAAGGTTTAATGAAGAAAGTTTACATTGC